AAGACTGACACCCTGCGACCCCACGAATGCTGCATCTCCTGGGGGGATCACATGACTGACACCCTGCGACCCCACGAATGCTGCGTCTCCTGGGCGGGTCACAAGACTGACACCCTGCGACCCCACGAATGCTGCGTCTCCTGGGCCGGTCACATGACTGACACCCTGCGACCCCACGAATGCTGCGTCTCCGGGGCAGGTCACAAGACTGACACCCTGCGACCCCACGAATGCTGCGTCTCCTGGGCGGGTCACATGACTGACACCCTGCGACCCCACGAATGCTGCGTCTCCTGGGCGGGTCACATGACTGACACCCTGCGACCCCACGAATGCTGCGTCTCCTGGGCCGGTCACATGACTGACACCCTGCGACCCCACGAATGCTGCATCTCCTGGGGGGATCACATGACTGACACCCTGCGACCCCACGAATGCTGCGTCTCCTGGGCGGGTCACAAGACTGACACCCTGCGACCCCATGAATGCTGCATCTCCTGGGGGGATCACATGACTGACACCCTGCGACCCCACGAATGCTGCGTCTCCTGGGGCGGGTCACATGACTGACACCCTGCGACCCCACGAATGCTGCGTCTCCTGGGCGGGTCACATGACTGACACCCTGCGACCCCACGAATGCTGCGTCTCCTGGGCCGGTCACATGACTGACACCCTGCGACCCCACGAATGCTGCATCTCCTGGGGGGATCACATGACTGACACCCTGCGACCCCACGAATGCTGCGTCTCCTGGGCGGGTCACAAGACTGACACCCTGCGACCCCATGAATGCTGCATCTCCTGGGGGGATCACATGACTGACACCCTGCGACCCCACGAATGCTGCGTCTCCTGGGCGGGTCACAAGACTGACACCCTGCGACCCACGAATGCTGCGTCTCCAGGGCGGGTCACATGTTTGGGATTCTGTATCTCCCGGCAACGACAAACAGAGTCGGCGTTCTGCAGGAAGGTGTGAGGTGTCACCAGAGCCGGTGGATGGAAAATCTCACCCCCGCGGCCTGGCACGCCCTCCACCTGCCAACGGGGCGACATCACCCCGCAATGTTCCAGCAGGGAAAACATCTCGCCTTAATTTAGACCCTCAGAAATACTTTCCCTCCGCGGAGAACAGGTGCCGCCACATACATGGGGGGGGGGGGGGGGGGGCATAGCCGCCGCTGAACAATGCCAGCATGGGGGGGTCTGTGATGGTGGAGGGGGGTCAGTGATAGTGGAGGGGGTGTCTGTGATGGTGGAGGGGGGGTCTGTGATAGTGGAGGGGGGGAGAGGGGGGGGGTCAGTGATAGTCGAGGGGGGGGGAGGGGGGGGTCAGTGATAGTGGAGGGGGGGAGAGGGGGGGGTGAGTGTCAGTGATAGTGGAGGGGGTGTCTGTGATGGTGGAGGGGGGTCTGTGATAGTGGAGGGGGGGGAGGGGGGGGTCAGTGATAGTCGAGGGGGGGTCAGTGATAGTGGAGGGGGGAGAGGGGGGTCAGTGATAGTGGAGGGGGCGTCTGTGATGGTGGAGGGGGGGGGGGTCAGTAATGGTGGAGGGGGGGGGTCTGTGATGGTGGAGGGGGGTGTCTGTGATAGTGGAGGGGGGAGAGGGGAGGGTTCAGTGATAGTGGAGAGGGGTGTTTGTGATGGTGGAGAGGGGGGGGGGTCAGTGGTGGTGGAGGGGGGACAGGGGGGTGTCAGTGATAGTGGAGGGGGGAGAGGGGGGTTTGTGATGGGGGGAGGGGGGGGGGGGTCAGTACTAGGGAGGGGGGAGAGGGGGGTTTGTGATGGGGGAGGGGGGGGGGGGTCAGTGATAGTGGAGAGGGGGGGTCAGTGATGGTGGAGGGGGGGAGAGGGGGGGCAGTGATGGTGGAGGGGGTGTCTGTGATGGTGGAGGGGGGGGGTCTGTGATAGTGGAGGGGGGAGAGGGGGGGGGTCAGTGATAGTGGAGAGGGGGGTCAGTGATGGTGGAGGGGGAGAGGGGGGGGCAGTGATGGTGGAGGGGGGAGGTCTGTGATGGTGGAGGGGGGTGTCTGTGATGGTGGAGGGGGTGTCTGTGATGGTGGAGGGGGGGTCTGTGATAGTGGAGGGGGGAGGTCAGTGATAGTCGAGGGGGGTCAGTGATAGTGGAGGGGGGAGAGGGGGGGTCAGTGATAGTGGAGGTGGGGTCAGTGATGGTGGAGGGGGGGCTAGTGATAGTGGAGGGGGGCGTCTGTGATGGTGGAGGGGGGGGTCAGTGATGGTGGAGGGGGGGTCTGTGATGGTGGAGGGGGGGTCTGTGATGGTGGAGGGGGGGGGTCTGTGAGATGGTTGGAGGGGGGGGGGGGGTCAGTGATAGTGGAGGGGGGGGGGGGGGGGGGGGGGGTCAGTGATGGTGGAGAGGGGGGGGGGGGGTCAGTGGTGGTGGAGGGGGGGGATAGGGGGGGTCAGTGATAGTGGAGAGGGGGGGGGGAGGTCAGTGATAGTGGTGAGAGGGGGTTCAGTGATGGTGGAGGGGGAGAGGGGGGGCAGTGATGGTGGAGGGGGGGTCAGTGATGGTGGAGGGGGAGGTCAGTGATGGTGGAGGGGAGAGGGGGGGCAGTGATGGTGGAGGGGGGGAGGGGGAGGTCAGTGATGGTGGAGGGGGGGAGAGGGGGAGGTCAGTGATGGTGGAGGGGGGGTCAGTGATGGTGAAGGGTGGGGGGGGGGGGTTTGTGATGGTGGAGGGGGGGAGAGGGGGAGGTCAGTGATGGTGGAGGGGGGGTCAGTGATGGTGGAGGGAGGAGGGGGGGGGGTCAGTGATGGTGGAGGGGGGGTCAGTGATGGTGAAGGGTGGGGGGGGGGGTTTGTGATGGTGGAGGGGGGAGAGGGGGAGGTCAGTGATGGTGGAGGGGGGGGTCAGTGATGGTGGAGGGAGGAGGGGGGGGGGGGGTCAGTGATGGTGGAGGGGGGGTCAGTGATGGTGAAGGGTGGGGGGGGGGGTTTTGTGATGGTGGAGGAGGGGTCAGTGATGGTCGAGGGGGGAGAGAGAGCTCAGCAGTTGATCGTTGTGCTGTAATAGGTCTCCATACATGTGATCTGTGTCGGGAGGCAGGGGGGAAACATTACGGGGGGGGGGGGGGGGTCTTATCCAGGCCCTATATATATATATATGTGTGTGTGGGGGGGGTACACGTGTACAGGGGGACATGCAGGGAAGGGTCCTCCTATTCGGGGGAGGATCATCCTATTCGGGGGTGGGGTCCTCCTATTCGGGGGAGGGTCCTCCTAGTCTGGGTACGCCGGGCGTCTCTCGGATCGCCCCCATTGGACACAGGTCAGGTGATCAGCAGCCGCCCCATTCACAGTCCACACAGAGGAGGAGTTCACAGAAAACAACTTTTATTGGAAATGAGGAACATTTGGTGGGAGGAGCTCCGGTGGGGCGGAGCTCCGGTGGGCAAAGCACTCATCATGCCATTGCCTGACTTGGTTTTGAAAATGCGTGCCGCCTGGCTGGTATACTGATCCACTAACCAGGAAGAAGTACTCAGCTCAGGAGTTCTGCCTTTACTGGCTGCATGCTTGTTCCGGTTATTGAGACAATGGACTGACCGGCGAGTAGGACTCTGCGATGGACTGCTCAGCAATGGCTGCCCCGGTCACCGCTTTCATGACAGTTTCCCAGAGGGCCGAATATCAAGGGGTTGAATGTCTAGGGGGCCGAATACGTCATCGATGGACTAGCAGGGGGGTGACGGAGATCTCGGAGTCTCTCGCGGGGCCCAATGGGACTTGTAGTCTTCCATTCACAGATCCTCTGAGGGTGGGGGTGGGGAATGTGGCCACGTGTAACGTCATCACGCTGGACCTTCCCTTGATATCAGATTTCTTCTATTTATATTATTGGAGGAAAGATAGAGCCGGAGTTCCGGAACCTCCAGCAGACCTGTGATTGGCCGTGACGCAGGAGGTCCATTGGGGAGATTTCCCTTCACTTCCTGGACCGGTGACACGACAGGAAGTGAGAGGAAATCTCTCCATAACCAGGAAATGTCCTCCTTGCAGTCATGATGGTCACCAGGAAACACGTGGAGAGCGAATGTCTGCCAACCACAAGCCACCAAGAGAATCCCCGTACTTCTGGATATGAAGGATCATGTGACCGACAATCTCAGGCCCCAGTGTGGTCACAGCTTCTCCTCCATCAGAGGGTAGAGGTAGGTTGGCGCAGGGTAGGTGAGGAGGTGCTGCTGGGATGAGGGGCTCTCTTTCGTTCTCTCTGGTGGTGCCGATCCTTCGGACATCGATCTTCAGGGTCACACGGAGCGATGTGTTGTGTTTTCTGGGAGGAGTTTCAATCCCAGCGTGGTCAGCTAGGGAGTGAAATATGTTGTCTAAACCTGAAAAACATTTTTGGGGCCACATCTTTAATGCCAGGGCAACCCCTGGAGACGAGCGACCACTGACAGCGCTGGCCACCTCCTCCAGCCGCCATGCAGATCGTATCGCGCAGGATTTTCATTGGCTGTGAAAGTCAACCAATCGTATTGCAGAAAATCCGGAGAACCGACCTGGCGATCATCTACAGATCCTGCCTGGTGCCTTCCCTGACTTCTCTCCAAGTCAGCAATAAGCTCCACCCCTAGTGGCACTAATCCACGCCCCCAAATCAGCAGTCTCAGGGATTGGGTGGCAGGAAATAGCCAATGGTGTGGTGAGGTTAGTAGTTTAGTTCTGGGAGGGGTTGGCCCCGGGTTGGGGAGTCTGGGCTCCGGCCCTTCAGCAACCAAACAGATCGACCTTGAATGTGACGAATACACGGAAACCTTCATCCCTGAACCCACCAACAACGCCCCTCCCCCTTCACAGCGTCGCGTTCAGCGCGACATTCCACAAACGCGTTTCGTCCTCATTGAGCCGATGTGTGCAGGATACAGTCCGGGCCCCCAGTGTCAGGAGAGCGGGCCCCAGTGTCAGGAGAGCGGGCCCCCAGTGTCAGGACAGCGGGCCCCAAGTGTCAGGACAGCGGGCCCCAAGTGTCAGGACAGCGGGCAGCAGCAGCCGTCGCGGTGCTTCGTGAGGAGGGAGATGCGGGAGAAGGTTTTGCCGCAGCCGGGACAGCGATATCGCTTCACCTCGGAGTGCGTCTGCAGGTGAGCGCGCAGGTTGGAACGGTCTGCAAAGCCACGCCCACAATGATAGCAGGAGAACGGCTTCTCACCTGCGAGAGAGAATACAGCGAATGAAGAGCAAGGCGGGGATCCCCACCTGGACTACAGAAACACCACCCCCCCCTGGGAGTGCCCTACAGCACCCACCCCCCCGTCCACCCAGGAGTGCCCAATGCCACCCATGCCCCCTCCCGGGAGTGCCCTGGGCCTAATGCCACCCACCCCCCCCCTTCCTCCTGAGAGTGCCCTGGGCCACCCACCCCATTAGGGACACTCCCCCCCCCCTCCTGGGAGTGGCGTTGCCCTGGGCCGCCGGCCCCATTAGAGAGACCCCCCGTGTCCCCGGTTGGGAGATTCCCCTCTCTGTGTCCCCGGTTGGGAGATTCCCCCTTTCTGTGTTCCGGTAGGGAGATTCCCCCTCTGTGTCCCCGGTAAGGGAGATTACCCCCTCTGTTCCCCCCCTCTGTGTCCCCGGTAGGGAGATTCCCCCCTCTGTGTCCCCGGTAAGGGAGATTCCCCCCTCTGTGTCCCCGGTAGGAAGATTCCCCCTCTCTGTGTCCCCGGTAAGGGAGATTCCCCCTCTCTGTGTCCCCGGTAAGGGAGATTCCCCCTCTCTGTGTCCCCGGTAAGGGAGATTCCCCCTCTGTGTCCCCGGTAGGAAGATTCCCCCCTCTCTGTGTCCCCGGTAAGGGAGATTCCCCCTCTGTGTCCCCGGTAGGAAGATTCCCCCCTCCTCTCTGTGTCCCCGGTAAGGGAGATGGGGGAGATTCCCCCTCTCTGTTGTCCCCGGTAAGGGAGATTACCCCTCTCTGTGTCCCCGGTAAGGGAGATTCCCCCTCTGTGTCCCCGGTAAGGGAGATTCCCCCTCTCTTTGTCCCCGGTAAGGGAGATTCCCCCTGTGTCCCCGGTAAGGGAGATTCCCCCTGTGTCCCCGGTAGGGAGATTCCCCCTGTGTCCCCGGTAGGGAGATTCCCCCTCTGTGTCCCCGGTAGGGAGATTCCCCCTCTGTGTCCTGGTGACCATGATCATTGAAAGTGAAAGAAAATCCAAAATTTTGGGTTGTCCCCAGAAGAGTAATAGAGGGGAACCCTCTCAAAGGGGACACTAGTTCTGGTGACACCCCGGGATTCCTCTCACTTCCTGTTTGGCGTTGTCAGGGGTTACAGCCCCCCCTTACCTATGGCGCGTGCACCATTGTCGGGGAGTTGCGTTCGATCTGCACATCGAGTGACATCAGGCCATGAAGCCCCGCCTCTAATAATGGAGCTGCAGTTGTGTCAATATCTGAATAAGAACACTCCTCCCACAATGCAGGGAGAACCAATCAGCATGGAGGATGGGGTGTGGGGGGGGGTATACCAATGACTTCTATCCCTGGGGGGACACAGAGGGGCTCGGGGGTCACCTCACCTGTGTGTGTTTCGGATATGTCCCTGCAGGAGCCACGGCCTGGAGAAAGCTTTCCCACAAATCCTGCAGGCGCAGGGCAAGGTGTGGGTGCGGATGTGCATCTTCAGGGCCCCCAGACTGCTGTAGGCCTTGGCGCAGTGCGGGCAGCTGAAGTAGCGGCAGTGCCGCAGTTTGTGGTTGGGGTGCAGTCTACCCGCCTTCTGGAAGTCCAATCCGGCCTCAGAATCCGAGACGTGGGCCAGCTCTGCTTCAGAAGCTTTATTCACGAGTCCTGAAAGTCCCGCCTCTGCTGTCCTGCTCCTCGGGGGCGTGTGCAAGCTGTCTTTTAGAGGTAGTCCATTGGTTATAACTGAGAGAGCATTTCCCATCCTGAGCTCCAGGGGGTGTAGGAGGGATTCATCGTATAGCTCCTCCTGGATGGTACCCGGGGACGGCCACGTGATGGCGGGGGGCTCCTCACTCTGATATATGGACAGGACCAGACCTAGAGCAGACATACAACATGCCATCATTGGGGGAAACAGAATAATAAATGTGGTGTAATGTGACACGGCACAATGCGACACGGCACAATGCGACACGGCACAATGCGACACGGTACAATGCGACACGGCACAATGCGACACGGTACAATGCGACACGGCACAATGCTACACGGCACAAGGCAACACGGTACAATGCGACACGGCACAAGGCGACACAGGTACAATGTGACACGGCACAATGCGACACGGCACAAGCGACACGGCACAAGGCACACGGTACAATGCGACACGGCACAATGCGACACGGCACAAGGCAACATGGTACAATGCGACACGGTACAATGCGATACGACACGGCACAATGCGACACGGTACAATGCGACACGGCACAAATGCGACACGGTACAATGCGACACGGTACAATGCGATACGACACGGCACAATGCGACACGGTACAATGCGACACGGCACAATGCGACACGGCACAATGCGACACGGCACAATGCGACACACGGCACAAGGCAACATGGTACAATGCGACACGGCACAATGCGACACGGTACAATGCGACACGGTACAATGCGATACGACACGGCACAATGCGACACGGCACAATGCGACACGGCACAATGCGACACGGTACAATGCTACACGGCACAAGGCAACATGGTACAATGCGACACGGCACAATGCGACACGGTACAATGCGACACAATGCGATACGACACGGCACAATGCGACACGGCACAATGCGACACGGCACAAGGCAACATGGTACAATGCGACACGGCACACAATGCGATACGACACGGCACAATGCGATACGACACGGCACAAGGCGACACAGCACAATGAGACACGGCACAAGGTGACACGGCACAAGGCACACGGCACAATACGATACGACACGGCACAATGCGACACGGCACAAGGCGACACGGCACAAGGCGACACGGCACAAGGCGACACGGCACAATACGATACGACACGGCACAATGCGACACGGCACAAGGCGACACGGCACAATACAATACGACACAGTACAATGCGACACGGTACTACATATGACACAGTACAATGCGGTACTATATGACACGGCACAATGCGACACGGTATCATATGACATGCCGGGATCTCCTGACCTTCCAATGTCCATCCAATGAGATCTAATCACAGAACATTCAACATAATTACATCAATTCCGATTTGCTGCCAACCTTTCTTATAGGGAGATCCGCCATGAGGGTGACAACTGTTCCCCAACAATGCTCCTGTGTTGTCACCCTGTCACATGTGCCCGTGGTGGAGACCACGGTGGGGGCGTGGCTACGAGTTTCGGGATCTCTAAACTCTCAGAAAATGGAAAGCCCAGATCTCTGCAATGGAGGAAGTAGCATGGCTCATCTCTCCTACCTACCTCGCCCTACCTACCTCGCCCTACCTACCTCACCCTACCTACCTCGCCCTACCTACCTCGCCCTACCTACCTACCTCCTACCTACCTACCTCGCTCTACCTACCTCACCCTACCTACCTCACCCTACCTACCTCACCCTACCTACCTCACCCTACCTACCTCACCCTACCTACCTCACCTACCTACCTCACTCTACCTACCTACCTCGCTCTACCTACCTCACTCTACCTACCTCACTCACTCTACCTACCACTGTCTACCTACCTCGCCCTACCTACCTCACCCTACCTACCTCGCCCTACCTACCTCGCCCTACCTACCTCACCCTACCTACCACTGTCTACCTACCTCGCTCTACCTACCTCACTCTACCTACCTCACTCACTCTACCTACCACTGTCTACCTACCTCGCCCTACCTACCTCACCCTACCTACCTCACCCTACCTACCTCGCTCTACCTACCTCACCCTACCTACCTCACTCTACCTACCACTGTCTACCTACCTCGCCCTACCTACCTCACCCTACCTACCTCACCCTACCTACCTCACTCTACCTACCACTGTCTACCTACCTCGCCCTACCTACCTCGCTCTACCTACCTCACTCTACCTACCTCCACTCACTCTACCTACCACTGTCTACCTACCTCGCCCTACCTACCTCACCCTACCTACCTCACCCTACCTACCTCACTCTACCTACCTCGCCCTACCTACCTCGCCCTACCTACCTCGCTCTACCTACCTCGCCCTACCTACCATCGTCTACCTACCTCACTCGACCTAACATTGTCTACCTACCACTGTCTACCTACCTCGCTCTACCTACCACTCTCTACCTACCTCGCTCTACCTACCACTGTCTACCTACCTCACTCTCGCTCTACCTACCACTGTCTACCTACCTCACTCTACCTACCACTGTCTACCTACCTCGCCCTACCTACCTACCTCACTCTACCTACCACGGTCTACCTACCTCGCTCTACCTACCACTGTCTACCTACCTCACTCTACCTACCACTATCTACCTACCTCACTCTACCTACCACTGTCTACCTACCTCACTCTACCTACCTCGCCCTACCTACCACTGTCTACCTACCTTGCACTACCTACTATTGTCTACCTACCTCACTCTACCTACCACTGTCTACCTACCTCGCCCTACCTAACTCACCCTACCTACCACTGTCTACCTACCTTGCTCTACCTACCTCGCTCTACCTACCATTGTCTACCTACCTTGCACTACCTACCATCGTCTACCTACCTCGCTCTACCTACCATCGTCTACCTACCTCACTCGACCTACCATTGTCTACCTACCTTGCTCTACCTACCACTGTCTACCTACCTCGCTCTACCTACCATTGTCTACCTACCTTGCACTACCTACCATCGTCTACCTACCTCACTCGACCTACCACTGTCTACCTACCACTGTCTACCTACCGCGCTATACCTACCACTGTCTACCTACCTCACTCTCGCTCTACCTATCACTGTCTACCAACCTTGCTCTACCTACCTACCTCACTCTACCTACCACTGTCTACCTACCTCGCCCTACCTACCTACCTCACCTACATTCCACTGTCTACCAACCTACCAACCTTGCTCTACCTACCTACCTCACTCTACCTACCACTGTCTACCTACCTCGCTCTACCTAGTGTGTGGGAGATGTGCGGGGGATGTGCCGGGAGTGTGGGGGGGGATGTGTCGGGAGCGGGGGAGGGGTCGGGTCTCAGGCAGAGATCACATCGGGGAGGATTTTCCGTCCATACATCATACAATTTCCTTCTCCTGAAAGTACGAGGGTCGGTCTGATTGGATGAGAATTGAACGACTTCAGATCTGACCTCATACTAGGAAGATTGGATGGTGTACAGCCGGTCTGATTGGATGGTGTATGACCAGTCTGATTGGATGGTGTATGACCAGTCTGATTGGATGGTGTATGGCCGGTCTGATTGGATGGTGTATGGCCGGTCTGATTGGATGGTGTATGACCGGTCTGATTGGATGGTGTATGACCGGTCTGATTGGATGGTGTATATGGCCGGTCTGATTGGATGTGTATGGCCGGTCTGATTGGATGTGTATGGCCGGTCTGATTGGATGGTGTATGGCCGGTCTGATTGGATGGTGTATGGCCGACCTCCTCAGCTGCATCTGTGAAAGGTGATTGGGGAACGTCTCATTGCTGCAATCTCCCGTCCTACGAGATGAATGCCAATGATTGGGCGTATCCATGGCGATGGAACTTCTGAATGACATTTGTTGTCTACCCCGTGTTATCGATCGATTCCGCCTAATGACGATGTAAATCGCAGCCAATCAGAACTCGTCTCTCTGCTGTGACTTCAACCAGCTGAAATTGTACAGAACGACATTCATTGCTGAGTAATCAGCAGTAGTAAATGAGAAACGTGATTCTTCCTCGTTCTGTGCCATCGATTTCCCATAAAACGAAGAAGTGGCTCTCGAGGGCCAAATACTTCCCAATAACTCTCCCAGCACTAGGAGACCCCAGGATGGACAGACTCCCCCCCAGCACTAGGAGCCCACAGTATGGACAGACTCCCCCCAGCACTAGGAGCCCCCAGGATGGACAGACTCCCCCAGCACTAGGAGCCCCCAGGATGGACAGACTCCCCCCCAGCACTAGGAGCCCCCAGGATGGACAGACTCCTCCCCCCAGCACTAGGTGCCCCCAGGATGGACAGACTCCCCCAGCACTAGGAGCCCCCAGGATGGACAGACTCCCCCAGCACTAGGAGCCCCCAGGATGGACAGACTCCCCCCCCCCCACTAGGTGCCCCCAGGATGGACAGACTCCCCCCCCCCAGCACTAGGTGACCCCAAGATGGACAGACACCCCCCCCCCAAGCACTAGGAGCCCCCAGGATGGACAGACTCCCCCCCAGCAGTAGGTGACTGCAAAATGGACAGACTCCCCCCCAGCACTAGGAGCCCCCAGGATGGATAGACCCCCCCCCCCCCCCCCACAAGGTGCTCCCAGGATGGACAGACTCCCCCAGCACTAGGAGCCCCCAGGATGGACAGACTCCCCCCCAGCACTAGGAGCCCCCAGGATGGACAGACTCCCCCCCCCCCAGCACTAGGTGCCCCCAGGATGGACAGACTCCTCCCCAGCACTAGGAGCCCCCAGGATGGACAGACTCCCCCCCCCAGCACTAGAAGCCCCCAGGATGGACAGACCCCCCCCCCAGCACTAGGAGCCCCCAGGATGGACAGACTCCCCCCCAGCACTAGGTGACTGCAAAATGGACAGACTCCCCCCCCCCCAGCACTAGGAGCCCCCAGGATGGACAGACTCCCCCCCAGCACTAGGAGCCCCCAGGATGGACAGACCCCCCCCCCCAGCACTAGGAGCCCCCAGGATGGATAGACCCCCCCCCCCCCAGCACTAGGTACTCTCCCAGGATGGACAGACTCCCCCAGCACTAGGAGCCCCCAGGATGGACAGACTCCCCCCCAGCACTAGGAGCCCCCAGGATGGACAGACTCCCCCCCAGCACTAGGAGCCCCCAGGATGGACAGACTCCCCCCCAGCACTAGGTGCCCCCAGGATGGACAGACTCCTCCCCCCCAGCACTAGGTGCCCCCAGGATGGACAGACTCCCCCAGCACTAGGAGCCCCCAGGATGGACAGACTCCCCCCCCAGCACTAGGTGCCCCCAGTATGGACAGACTCCCCCAGCACTAGGAGCCCCCAGTATGGACAGACTCCCCCCCCCCAGCACTAGGTGCCCCCAGTATGGACAGACTCCCCCCAGCACTAGGAGCCCCCAGGATGGACAAACTCCCCCCCCCAGCACTAGGTGCCCCCAGGATGGACAGACTCCCCCAGCACTAGGAGCCCCCAGGATGGACAGACTCCCCCCCCCAGCACTAGGAGCCCCCAGGATGGACAGACTCCTCCCCCAGCACTAGGTGCCCCCAGTATGGACAGACTCCCCCAGCACTAGGAGCCCCCAGTATGGACAGACTCCCCCAGCACTAGAGCCCCCAGGATGGACAGACCCCCCAGCACTAGGAGCCCCCAGGATGGACAGACTCCCCCCCCCCAGCACTAGGTGCCCCCAGGATGGACAGACTCCTCCCCAGCCAGCACTAGGTGCCCCCAGGATGGACAGACTCCCCCCCCCCAGCACTAGGAGCCCCCAGGATGGACAGACTCCCCCCAGCACTAGGAGCCCCCAGGATGGACAGACTCCCCCAGCACTAGGAGCCCCCAGTATGGACAGACTCCCCCCCCAGCACTAGGAGCCTCCAGGATGGACAGACTCCCCCCCCCCCCAGCACTAGGAGCGCCCAGGATGGACAGACCCCCCCCCAGCACTAGGAGGACAGCCCCCAGCACAGGATGGACAGACTCCCCCCCCAGCACTAGGAGCCCCCAGGATGGACAGACTCCCCCCCCAGCACTAGGAGCCCCCAGGATGGACAGACTCCCCCCCAGCACTAGATGCCCCCAGGATGGACAGACTCCCCCCCAGCACTAGATGCCCCCAGGATGGACAGACTCCCCCAGCACTAGGAGCCCCCAGGATGGACAGACTCCCCCAGCACTAGGTGCCCCCAGGATGGACAGACTCCCCCCCAGCACTAGGTGCCCCCAGGATGGACAGACTCCCCCCCCCCAGCACTAGGTGCCCCCAGGATGGACAGACTCCCCCAGCACTAGGTGCCCCCAGGATGGACAGACTCCCCCCCAGCACTAGGTGCCCCCAGGATGGACAGACTCCCCCCCCAGCACTAGGTGCCCCCAGGATGGACAGACTCCCCCCCCCAGCACTAGGTGCCCCCAGGATGGACAGACTCCCCCCCAGCACTAGGTGCCCCCAGGATGGACAGACTCCCCCCCAGCACTAGGTGCCCCCAGGATGGACAGACTCCCCCCCAGCACTAGGTGCCCCCAGGATGGACAGACTCCCCCCCAGCACTAGGTGCCCCCAGGATGGACAGACTCCCCCCCAGCACTAGGTGCCCCCAGGATGGACAGACTCCCCCCCCAGCACTAGGTGCCCCCAGGATGGACAGACTCCCCCCCAGCACTAGGTGCCCCCAGGATGGACAGACTCCCCCCTCACCTGGCTGAGCCTCCAGCAGTTGGCCATAGTTGGGGATCTTGTGGCTGAATGGCTTCTTCACCAGGAAGGATCGGGGCATCTCCAGCACGTCCCCCCCCCAGTGTGGCCCCAGCATGGGACTCTCACAATCTGGGGGGACATGCTGCTGCTACATTACTATGGGGCCTCCCAGCAGCCAATCAGGGGCTGAGACAAGTGCAGTGGGCGGGGCCCAAGGGGGACTCCCAGCTGGAGCAGGTGCATGGTCGGAATATCTTGGCACAGAGCAGGAGGGGGGGGGGGGGGGGGGGGGCAGAGGGCAGGGAGGGAGGGGGGGGGGCTGACTCCTGGTAATGTGTGGAGGGGGAGGAGGGGGTGCGATTCGCAGCACGTGTTGCTGAATTGTTGGAAGTCCCATTCCAGCAGTGAAGCTGTGAGGACGGCGTGTCGGCGCTCACAGGGACGCGTCATTCTGCGCTTTCCATGCGTTGTGCATTGTGGATAATGCGGCAAAGATGCTGCGCCTTCCTGATGCTCCGTTCACACTGGCTTTGTCAGCAGGCGTCAGACAGGCATTTGGGAAGCGTTTTTAACACTTCTATGAAAATTCTGCACATGGCAGCACACAGCGCTGTTCACACTGAAGTGTCAGCGTCGCGGACACGAGGGAGGGACACGAGGGGGGACGTGGGGGAGGGACGTGGGGGGGACACGGGGGAGGGATGTGGGAGGAGGGACAGGAGGGAGGGACGTGGGGGAGGGACATGGGGGGGGACACGAGGGGGGGACACGAGGGAGGGACACGGGGGGAGGGACACGGGGGTGGGACACAGGGAGGGACACGGGGGGAGGGACGTGGGAGGGGACACGGGGGAGGGACGTGGGAGAAGGGACACGGGGAGAGGGACGTGGGGAGGGACACGGGGGAGGGACACGGGGGGAGGGACGTGGGAGAGGGACACGGGGGAGGGACGTGGGGGAGGGACACGGGGGAGGGACATGGAGGAGGGACGTGGGGGAGGGACACGAGGGGGGGGGACACAGGGGGGGACGTGGGAGAAGGACACGGGGGAGGGACGTGGGAGAGGGACACGGGGGAGGGACACAGGGGAGGGACACGGGGGGAGGGACGTGGGAGAGGGACACGAGGGGGAGGGACGTGGGAGAGGGACACGGGGGAGGGACGTGGGAGAGGGACACGGGGGAGGGACACGGGGGAGGGACACAGGGGGAGGGACGTGGGAGAGGGACACGGGGGAGGGACGTGGGAGAGGGACACGGGGGAGGGACGTGGGAGAGGGACACGGGGGAGGGACGTGGGGGAGGGGGACACGGGGGAGGGACACGGGGGTAATAATAGATGAGGAGAAACAGAAGGAAATGGAAATATGCGGGAGGTAGAAATGAACTACAAATGTTTGGTAAGATGCAGGGCGGACTGACCATTTGGGCACTGCCGAGGGCCCGGGATCATTAGAGGGCCCCATGAGATGTCCCTGGTACCTTTCATAGGCTTTTTTGGGTGTGGTTTGAATGTGGTTGAGGACACAGGGGCCCCATGATCCCCTATTGCCCAGGGGCCCCATGAGTTGTCAGTCCGCCCCTAGTGGTATATTACACGGAGTGTGGCACATAGGCTGGGTGGGGAGGATTCACCATTGTGCTGGAGGGGATGTGGAGGGAGAGGCACCACATATGGAGGGAGAGGCACCACATATGGAGGGAGAGACCACCTACGAGGGAGAGGCACCACATACGGGGAGAGGCACCACATACGAGGGAGAGGCACCACATACAGAGGGAGAGGCACCACATACGGTGGGAGAGGCACCACATACGGTGGAGAGGCACCACATATGGAGGGAGAGGCACCACATACGGTGGGAGAGGCACCACATACGGAGGGAGAGGCACCACATACGGTGGGAGAGGCACCACATATGGAGGGAGAGGCACCACATGCGGAGGGAGAGGCACCACATGCGGTGGGAGAGGCACCACGTATGGAGGGAGAGGCACCACATATGGTGGGAGAGGCACCACATACGGTGGGAGAGGCACCACATATGGTGGGCGTGTCCTAGAATACAGGAGTATTGGGATCCGGGGAATGACTGGCGCTGATATTAGATCCACAGATTTGCCTTTTTCAGAGTTATCGGCTATAAATACAAAGAATCTGGTATTTGGTATTATTTGATGCAGCAAAGGGCCTGATACCCGAGTTGTGGCGGAGATAGGAGGGGCCGAGGGGACCAGATATGAAGGATGGAGAAACGTTCCACATGTATGAAGATAAGATGGACAGATATCATGTGAGACGGAACAGATGGGAAGAATTTGAGAAAAAAAAAAAGTTAAATGTGGAATGTATGGGGACAGAATGTAAAATAATTGGGCAGCACAGTGGCTGAGTGGTTAGCACTTCCACCTGGCAGTACTCGGGTCGTCGGTTCAAATCCCAGCCATGGCACCACCTGCCTGGAGTTTGCATGTTCTCCCTGTGCCTGCGTGGGTTTCCTCTAGGTACTCCGGTTTCCTCCCACACTCCAAAGAAATGCTGGTAGGTGAATTGGCTCCTGTCTATATTGTCCCTATATGTGTATGTATGATGTGAGTTAGGGACCTTAGATTGTACGCTCCTCGGGGGCGGGGCCTGATGGGAATGTACAATATATATGTAAAGTGCGGAGTAACATTGACGGCGATATATAAGTACCTGAAATAAATAAATAATGTGAGTATCCTCTCTCTCTCCTCTGTAGGGGATGCGGGGTCCCAGGAAGATTAGGAAAACATGGAGGGGTGATGAGATGGGGAGGGGGGTAGTTAGGAGGTACGGAGGGGAGTCGGGGGGGTAGTTAGGAGGTACAGAGGGGAGTTGGGGTAGTTAAGAGGTTTGGGGGGGTAGTTAGGAGGTACGGAGGGGAGTCGGGGGGGTAGTTAGGAGGTACAGAGGGGAGTCGGGGGGGGGGGGGTAGTTAGGAGGTACAGAGGGGGAGTCGGGGGGGGGGTAGTTAGGAGGTACAGAGGGGAGTCGGGGGGGGGGGGGGGTAGTTAGGAGGTACGGAGGGGAGTCGGGGGGGTAGTTAGGAGGTACGGAGGGGAGTCGGGGGGGTAGTTAGGAGGTACGGAGGGGAGTCGGGGGGGGGGTAGTTAGGAGGTACGGAGGGGAGTCGGGGGGGGGGGTTAGTAGTTAAGAGGCACGGAGGGGAGTCGGGGGGGGGGGGGGTAGTTAAGAGGTACGGAGGGGGGTAGTTAGGAGGTACGGAGGGGAGTTAGGGGGGGTAGTTAGGAGGTACGGAGGGGAGTCAGGGGGGGGGGTAGTTAGGAGGTACGGAGGGGAGTCAGGGGGGGGGGGTAGTTAGGAGGTACGGAGGGGAGTCGGGGGGGGGGGGGGTAGTTAGGAGGTACGGAGGGGAGTCGGGGGGGGGGGTAGTTAGGAGGTACGGAGGGGGGGTAGTTAGGAGGTACGGAGGGGAGTCGGGGGGGGGGTAGTTAGGAGGTACGGAGGGGGAGTCGGGGGGGGGGGGGGTAGCTAGGAGGTACGGAGGGGAGTCGGGGGGGGTAGTTAGGAGGTACGGAGGGGAGTCGTGAGGGGTAGTTAGGAGGTACGGAGGGGAGTCGGGGGGCACGGAGGGGTCGGGGGGGTAGTCAGGAGGTACGGAGGGGAGTCGGGGGGGGGGGGTAGCTAGGAGGCACGGAGGGGAGTCGGGGGGGGGGGGGTAGGAGGCACGGAGGGGAGTCGGGGGGGGGGGGGGGGGGGGGGGGTAGGAGGTACGGAGGGGAGTCGGGGGGGTAGGAGAAATGATAATTGTATTACAAGTGTGTCAATGTTGTTTAATAGAATAAGTTTGTATAATTTGTTTGAAAATCAATAAATATTTAAAAAAAAAAAAAAGTGTGAGCGAGCCCTTAGTGCGTCCCTCCGATCGTTCTGCCATGTTTTGTGCCGACACTCTGAAAAATGGGAATCCCCCGAAATGAACCCCAAACATGCAGCTGGATGGAGAAGGGGGCGGGCACAGTTGGCTCCACCCCTAGTCTAGCACTGAGAGCCAGCTGTCAATCAGGCAGTAGGTGTGTCTGTAGTGCGTGTTCAGATCTTCAGTGCCGGTCCCACCAATCTGACTGAAATCACGAGACTTCCAGTAAAGTTGCACGATTTCAAATGGATGTCATTAGACTTGAAGTGCAGCTGAAGTATGGAACGCACTACTTTAGAAATCTGTGCAACTCTGACCAAGTCGGAATCGCGCCGATATGACGCTTTAACTGCAGACAATGTGCGACTTGCCGCACCCAGTAGGACCGGCACTAAGGCGACATTCACATTGAGCTGAGTGCTTTTCATTGAGGCATTCTTGCGGTGACCAATAGAAATAGCTGCTGTTTGAACGGAAAACGCCTGAAAAAGCACTCATTCCCACTGTTCAGGTGTTCACCATTCTGGGAACAAAACACTCTGATCTGCCTGAAAATTAGCGCAAGCACTTTTTGAGTTGCAGGCGTTTTGCTGCAGGCGACAGAACACTCAAGTGTGAACAGGAACCATTGGAAAAAATGGGATTTTACTCGAGCGTTTCTGAGCGTTGAGATGAAAAAAGTGTGTGTAGGAAACAATTTGTATCCTCCATGGAAGTTCACCGCAGCCTCGACGTTCCTGGTGAATGAAGAACTGTCTGCTATTCTTTCAGACTCCCACCAGATTCCTCCATGGATCTGACAGGCCCAGCCCACCTTACCAATAGAGAGCTTCACTTCATTCGAACCTCCGTACCCGAGCGTGATTGGCGGCTGTTCTCCCATCCTCCCTTGTGTTCTCCTCTCTCATCTTTTTTCAGTTTATTTTCTGGCTCTACCGCAGGGATGTTTTATGAACCCCGACGTGCTCCGTACATCTCATGCCGGGATTACATGTTGGTGTACTTCCATTGTTGGGTAATTGGATACAGGCATGTAGCCCTTCCTCGTGTTTGGGGCCGATAGCACAGCACGGATGGTGTACGCTCTGAGGCCGAGGGCGCAGCTCGGATGGTGTACGCTCTGAGGCCGAGGGCGCAGCACGGATGGTGTACGCTCTGAGGCCGAGGGTGCAGCACGGATGGTCTACGCTCTGAGGCCGAGGGCACAGCACGGATGGTCCACGCTCTGAAGCCGAGGGCACAGCACGGATGGTCCACGCTCTGAGGCCGATGGCACAGCACGGATGGTGTACGCTCTGAGGCCGAGGGCACAGCACGGATGGTGTACGCTCTGAGGCCGAGGGCACAGCACGGATGGTCTACGCTCTGAGGCCGAGGGCACAGCACGGATGGTCTACGCTCTGAGGCCGAGGGCACAGCACGGATGGTCCACGCTCTGAGGCCGATGGCACAGCACGGATGGTGTACGCTCTGAGGCCGAGGGCACAGCACGGATGGTGTACGCTCTGAGGCCGAGGGCACAGCACGGATGGTGTACGCTCTGAAGCCGAGGGCACAGCACGGATGGTTTATGCTCTGAGGCCGATGGCACAGCACGGATGGTCCACGCTCTGAGGCCGAGGGCACAGCACGGATGGTCCACGCTCTGAGGCCGAGGGCACAGCACGGATGGTGTACGCTCTGAAGCCGAGGGCACAGCACGGATGGTGTACGCTCTGAGGCCGAGGGCACAGCACGGATGGTTTACGCTCTGAAGCCGAGGGCACAGCACGGATGGTGTAAGCTCTGAAGCCGAGGGCACAGCACGGATGGTGTAAGCTCTGAGGCAGATGGCACAGCACGGATGGTTTACGCTCTGAAGCCGAGGGCACAGCACGGATGGTGTATGCTCTGAGGCAGATGGCACAGCACGGATGGTGTATGCTCTGAAGCCGAGGGCACAGCACGGATGGTGTACGCTCTGAAGCCGAGGGCACAGCACGGATGGTGTACGCTCTGAAGCCGAGGGCACAGCACGGATGGTGTACGCTCTGAAGCCGAGGGCACAGCACGGATGGTGTACGCTCTGAAGCCGAGGGCACAGCACGGATGGTGTATGCTCTGAAGCCGAGGGCAGATATCAGGAGACTGGGAACTCTACAGCAATGCTGAAAGAATGTATTACATGTAACTAAACCCATTCAATTTTAGTCAACTGAAAACTGACATTTCATCAACTGACTCCACCCGGGTTCACATACATGCGGTGCGGTATATCACGTTATTCGCACAGGAACCGCACTCCTCTGCAGATCACGTGATGTGTGTTCAGTGCAATCGGAGTCGTACATTTTGTATGGCTCTAATCGCACCCTCAGCAAGAACACGCAGGACCCTTTTTTAGCCCGCACTAGAATCGGATCACATGGGTATTCACACCTGCGGTCCGATTCTGCACATCGCAACGCGTTTTGTGGACCACTTTCGGAGTGTTGTTAACATACAACCCGCTGCGGTTCACATGAATGGGGTGCAATTCTGATGTGGTGCGGAATTCACACTGAAAATGCAGCCAATTCCATGTCAGTGTGAACCCGGCCTGATTCTAATGTTTGTTTATTTTTCATCACTGAAAACGCTGCTGACAAAAACTAGGACCAAAATATCTTCATCCATGAAATGATCACTGATGGCAACTATGTAACTAGGAGGGAGCGCAGGGAGGGGGCGCAGGGAGGGGGCTCAGGGAGGGGGCGCAGGGAGGGGGGCGCAGGGAGGGGGCGCAGGGAGGGGGCGCAGGGAGGGGGCTCAGGGAGGGGGCGCAGGGAGGGGGCGCAGGGAGGGGGCGCAGGGAGGGAGCTCAGGGAGGGGGCGCAGGGAGGGGGCTCAGGGAGGGAGCTCAGGGAGGGGGCGCAGGGAGGGAGCTCAGGGAGGGAGCGCAGGGAGGGGGCGCAGGGAGGGAGCGCAGGGAGGGAGCGCAGGGAGGGGGCGCAGGGAGGGAGCGCAGGGAGGGGGCGCAGGGAGGGGGCGCAGGGAGGGGGCGCAGGGAGGGGGCGCAGGGAGGGAGCTCAGGGAGGGGGCGCAGGGAGCGGGCGGTCAGGGATTTCCCCTCCACGCCGGCCGGTCAGGGTGCAGCGGTCAGCTTTCCTCAGGGGGGTGGGCAGGTCAGGGAGCTCCTCCATGCGGTTGTCAGCTTTCCTCCTCTCAGGGCAGCAGTCAGACTTCCTCCTCTCAGGGAGCGAGCGCAGCTGGGAGGGAGCAGACTTTTCTCCTCGTGCGGGGGTCAGCTTTCCTCCTCTGCGCGCAGTCAGACTTCCTCCTCCGTGCGGCGGTCACTTTCCTCCTCCTCGCGCAGCGCAGTCAGACTTCCTCCTCTGCGCGCGCGGTCAGCTTTCCTCCTCCGTGCGCAGCAGTCAGACTTCCTCCTCCGCGCGGCGGTCAGCTTTCCTCCTCTGCGCAGCAGTCAGACTTCCTCCTCCGCGCGGCGGTCAGCTTTCCTCCTCTGCGCAGCAGTCAGACTTCCTCCTCCGCGCGGCGGTCAGCTTTCCTCCTCTGCGCAGCAGTCAGACTTCCTCCTCCGTGCGGCGGTCACTTTCCTCCTCTGCGCAGCAGTCAGACTTCCTCCTCCGCGCGGCGGTCAGCTTTCCTCCTCTGCGCAGCAGTCAGACTTCCTCCTCCGCGCGGCGGTCAGCTTTCCTCCTCTGCGCAGCAGTCAGACTTCCTCCTCCGCGCGCGGCGGTCAGCTTTCCTCCTCTGCGCAGCAGTCAGACTTTCCCGCAGCTCCTCCGCGCGGGGTCAGCTTTCCTCCTCTGCGCAGCAGTCAGACTTTCCTCCTCCGCGCGGTGGTCAGCTTTCCTCCTCTGCGCAGCAGTCAGACTTTCTCCTCCGCGCGGTGGTCAGATGCTCACTTCCATTAATCAGCCGTTTTCCGGCGATTTTACGTTTCCCTCACCCAGATGCCGTAAAATAAAAGACAGCGGGACACATGTGGAATGAAACTGCATTTTACTGAGAAAAATGGTTTTGCTACAAATACATAATAAATTGTTTTTACTTCCAAAAAACAGTATTTATCATCAAAACTTCTAGTATTCAGCATGTTCTGCAAAATAAAACGAGAAACAGAGACACAGTGTAATAACTACACACAGACAGACAATATATACACACACATGTGCAAGTTCTTCGTACGCCCTGCTCTGCAATACACACAATATTGGAGGATACAGGGCAATAAAAATGAAAGCATTGCATTCTGCCCCTCCCACCACCTCCCCAGTCCCTCTCCCCCTCCCCTTCAGACACGCCCCCAATGTTCCCATACATCATCAGGGGCTTTAAAGTGACCTATTTAGGTAACAGGGACCTGTCTGTGCGGCAGCGTAGCCAGGTTCTGTACGATCGATTGACGGTTTGCATTGCTTGTCCTGGGAATGAACACGTTTGGTTAACATCAGAAGTCATTAAATATCCAACATAATAAAAACACAAAACTCAATGTAAAGCTATCCTCCTCCATTCACAAATACGGCTGGAAAAATTCCAACAACTAAATAAAAGGCCATCGATGTGACATCACAACATGTCCCCCGCCTCCCAATGTCTGGCATCCAATATAAAGGACTGTGTGATGTCACATGTGCCCGTCTCCTAATGTAAAGGATTGTGTGACGTCACAACATGTCCCCGCCTCCCAAAGTCCAGCCATCAATGTAAAGGACTGTGTGATGTCACAACATGTCCCCGCCTCCCAATGTCTGGCCTCCAATGTAAAGGATTGTGTGACGTCACATGTCCCCGCCTCCCCCAAAGTCTGGCCTCCAATGTAAAGGATTGTGTGACGTCTCAACATGTCCCCCCTCCCAATGTAAAGGATTGTGACATCACAACATGTCCCCGCCTCCCAATGTAAAGGATTGTGACATCACAACATGTCCCCGCCTCCCAAAGTCCAGCCATCAATGTAAAGGATTGTGTGATGTCACAACATGTCCCCGCCTCCCAAGGTCTGGCCTCCAATGTAAAGGATTGTGTGACGTCACAACATGTCCCCGCCTCCCAAAGTCCAGCCATCAATGTAAAGGATTGTGTGATGTCACAACATGTCCCCGCATCCCAATGTCTGGCCTCTAATGTAAAGGATTGTGTGACTTCCTAACATGTCCCCGCCTCCCAATGACCAGCCTCCAATGTAAAGGCTTGTGTGACATCAAATGTCCCCACCTCCCAAAGTCCACCCATCAATGTAAAGGATTGTGTGATGTCACAACATGTCCCCGCCTCCCATTGTCTGGCCTCCAATGTAAAGGATTGTGTGATGTCACAACATGTCCCCGCCTCCAATGTCTGGCCTCCAATATAAAGGATTGTGTGATGTCACAACATGTCCCGCCTCCAATATAAAGGATTGTGTGATGTCACAACATGTCCCCGCCTCCAATATAAAGGTAAAGGATTGTGTGATGTCACATGTCCCGCCTCCAATATAAAGGATTGTGTGATGTCACAACATGTCCCCGCCTCCAATATAAAGGATTGTGTGATGTCACACATGTCCCGCCTCCAATATAAGGGATTGTGTGATGTCACATGTCCCCGCTTCCCAATGTCTGGCCTCCAATATAAGGGATTGTGTGATGTCACATGTCCCCGCCTCCCAATGTCCGGCCATTGATATAAAAGATTGTGTGACATCCTAACATGTCCCCGCCTCCCAAAGACCAGCCTCCAATGTAGAGGCTTGTGTGACATCAAATGTCCCCGCCTCCCAAAGTCCAGCCATCAATATAAAGGATTGTGTGATGTCACATGTCCCGCCTCCAATTGTCTGATGTCACAACATAAAGGATTGTGTGATGTCACAACATGTCCCCCTCCAATATAAAGGATTGTGTGATGTCACAACATGTCCCGCCTCCAATATAAAGGATTGTGTGATGTCACATGTCCCGCCTCCAATATAAAGGATTGTGTGATGTCCACAACATGTCCCGCCTCCAATATAAAGGATTGTGTGATGTCACAACATGTCCCGCCTCCAATATAAAGGATTGTGTGATGTCACAACATGTCCCGCCTCCAATATAAAGGATTGTGTGATGTCACAACATGTCCCGCTCTCAAATATAAAGGATTGTGTGATGTCACAACATGTCCCGCCTCCAATATAAAGGATTGTGTGATGTCACAACATGTCCCGCCTCCAATATAAAGGATTGTGTGATGTCACATGTCCCGCCTCCAATATAAAGGATTGTGTGATGTCACAACATGTCCCCGCCTCCTAACGTCTTCTCATCAAACAATGAAGAGAGATTGCAGCCATGTGGCCAAGCATCGCCCCCCGGAACTCCTCTGGAACATCTACAGACGTTTCTGGTTTCCAGGCATAGATGGCGCCTGGACTGTGATGGGATTAAAGTGGACCTGTTATATACACAATGGTTGTAGAAATTAGAGCCATTCACGGACACAGGTGACAACAATCGGCAGTTGAGGACTTTTGAGGGTTTTTTTTTCCTAATCAGCTTTCTAAACAGTTCAGCTCAGAGTCCGGCATCTAAAGGGGGGAGGCCACTGAAGGCAGATAGAGAGCCATGTCCTGAACAGGGAAGGTCCATGCCGGCGCCCCCCGGTGTCTCCTCCTATAGTCCATAATATCAATGGATACATTACAGGGTCATTTATTACCAAATATCAAACTTCAGAACCCAAACATCAATTTCCATTCCATGAATGTATTTCTGGTTTCTTTTGGTAAACAATCTGTGAACATATAAATAAAGCTTTGTACAAAAGAAAAACAAAAAAAAACACCTGCAGCCAGTGGAGCAAATTTGGAACAACAGTAGTTTGGTGGATGTATGGGGGTGACCTGCACTGGGGGACCAAGATCTCCACCCCCCCCCCCCCCCGTGTGTCTCATGGCAGCAGCTGAGAAGGTGCAGTGTTAGGTTGGTCCTCTGGTCTCCCGGTTCTGCCCCAGCGGCACATCATGGCGGACTGTCACCCACCCCCCCCCCCCAGTATCCTCAGGTCTCCCAATCACAACAGACCGCAGCAAGAAGAGGCGTACAGATTCGTCTTCTGCCTCTCCTGATCTCACTGAACTCTGCGATTGGCTGGAAGGAGAAAAGCGGCTCCGAGATATTCCAGCGCAAATGTAGAATGAAGTCCCTGGGTGGGTGATCCGGCCTTCACTGGCTATTCCATCCAAGAACCCGCCCCCCATCCCCCGCGTTCTATGTACTGGATATGGAGGAAGAGGTTCAGGACATACAATCTCTGCTGCCCCCTACAGACTGTGATGAGAAGTGCAGGGACATGGAGGAGAGACATTCATGCAGATTACGGGAGTTCAGGTGACGCAAACCACAGAATTCCTCCACAAATATGTCTCAGACCCTCCAAATCTAAACTGCCACTAAAGGCCAATGCCAGGCAAAACTGTCACTTTTTCATGTTGGAGAGACAGGAGGGGGGGAGGCGAGACAGGAGGGGGGACAGGAGGGTGGGGGAGGAGGGACAGCAGGGGGGGTGTAGGGGAGACAGGAGGGTGGGGGAGGCGAGACAGGAGGGGGGACAGGAGGGTGGGGGAGGGGAGACAGGAGGGTGGGGGAGGCGAGACAGGAGGGTGGGGGAGGGAGACAGGAGGGGGGACAGGAGGGGGGGGAGGGGAGACAGGAGGGGGGTGGGGGGGGGACAGGGGGGGGGGAGGGGAGGGGGGACAGGGGGGGGGACAGGGAGGGGGGGGGAGGGAGGGGGGACAGGAGGCAGGGACAGGGGTGGGGGAGGGAGAGGAGGGGGGACAGGAGGGGGGGAGGGGAGACAGGAGGGGGGACTGGAGGGGGGGTGGGAGGGGAGACAGGAGGCGGGACAGGAGGGGTGGAGGAGGGGAGACAGGAGGGGGGGGGGGGGGCATCTGACGTTCGGTCATCTGTATTCCTATTCTATTGGAGAATTGGAAACAACTTAAAGCCAACTGAACTTTAGATTTAGATACAATCCAGCTGCATTAAAATGAACGATTTTCAAAGTTACATTTCTTAGAAATCAGCCACAGCCTGAGTAAAAAAGCCCGTGCCCTGCCAGCATGTTCCCAGTGTGGAAACAGCGGTCCCTCTGCAGAGGTCATGGAGGCAGGAAGCACCGAGATCTCACATCCTACAGAATTCGGTTGAAGGTCGGAGCCCTGGATGGATTCCATTGTGATCCCCGGAGCGCCCGGGAGGAGTCCTGCACTCATCTGGATGGATTCCATTGTGATCCCCGGAGCGCCCCGGGAGGGAGTCCTGCACTCATCTCTGGGATGGATTCCATTGTGATCCTCGGAGCGCCCCGGGAGGAGTCCTGCACTCATCTCTGGGATGGATTCCATTGTGATCCTCGGAGCGCCCCGGGAGGAGTCCTGCACTCATCTGGATGGATTCCATTGTGATCCCCGGAGCGCCCCGGGAGGAGTCCTGCACTCATCTCTGGATGGATTCCATTGTGATCCTCGGAGCGCCCCGGGAGGAGTCCTGCACTCATCTGGATGGATTCCATTGTGATCCCTCGGAGCGCCCCGGGAGGAGTCCTGCACTCATCTCTGGGATGGATTCCATTGTGATCCTCGGAGCGCCCCGGGAGGAGTCCTGCATTCATCTGGATGGATTCCATTGTGATCCTCGGAGCGCCCCGGGAGGAGTCCTGCACTCATCTGGATGGATTCCATTGTGATCCCCCGGAGCGCCCCGGGAGGAGTCCTGCACTCATCTCTGGGATGGATTCCATTGTGATCCCCGGAGCGCCCCGGGAGGAGTCCTGCACTCATCTGGATGGATTCCATTGTGATCCCCGGAGCGCCCCGGGAGGAGTCCTGCACTCATCTCTGGGATGGATTCCATTGTGATCCCGGAGCGCCCCGGGGAGTCCTGCACTCATCTCTGGGATGGATTCCATTGTGATCCCCGGAGCGCCCCGGAGGAGTCCTGCACTCATCTCTGGATGGATTCCATTGTGATCCCGGAGCGCCCCGGGAGGAGTCCTGCACTCATCTGGATGGATTCCATTGTGATCCCGGAGCGCCCCGGGAGGAGTCCTGCACTCATCTGGATGGATTCCATTGTGATCCCCCCGAGCGCTCCGGGAGGAGTCCTGCACTCATCTCATCTGGATGGATTCCATTGTGATCCCCGGAGCGCCCCCGGGAGGAGTCCTGCACTCATCTGGATGGATTCCATTGTGATCCCCGGAGCGCCCCGGGAGGAGTCCTGCACTCATCTGGATGGATTCCATTGTGATCCCCGGAGCGCCCCGGGAGGAGTCCTGCACTCATCTGGATGGATTCCATTGTGATCCCCAGAGCGCTCCGGGAGGAGTCCTGCACTCATCTCTGGGATGGATTCCATTGTGATCCCCGGAGCGCCCCGGGAGGAGTCCTGCACTCATCTGGGATGGATTCCATTGTGATCCCCGGAGCGCCCCGGGAGGAGTCCTGCACTCATCTCTGGGATGGATTCCATTGTGATCCCCGGAGCGCCCCGGGAGGAGTCCTGCACTCATCTCTGGGATGGATTCCATTGTGATCCCCGGAGCGCCCCGGGAGGAGTCCTGCACTCATCTCTGGGATGGATTCCATTGTGATCCCCGGAGCGCCCCGGGAGGAGTCCTGTACCGGATGATCAGGATTTCAAGGAATCTGCTTTCACGGGTCACAGATTTCCGGCACACACGGGCCTAATATTGGCTGATATCAGCTGGTTCAACAGAAGCCGGCTCAAGAGTACAGCAGGCGACCGTATCTCCAGCTGTGATCAGTGCGCCCTGGCGGGGGGGGGGGTTCCCCGGTCAGACACAATATCATCACAGCGGAGGAGGGGAGGGGGTGGGGAGGGGGTGGGGTTCCCCGGTCAGACAGAATATTGCAGCGGGGGAGGGGGTGGTTCCCCGGTCAGACAGAATATTGCAGCGGCGGAGGGGAGGGGGCGGTTCCCCGGTCAGACACAATATCGCAGCGGGGG